GCAGGTGGCAGGCGCTGCAGGTGAGTTCGGGGGCTGCTCCCTCTTTTTTTTTTTTTTTCCTTTTCCTCTCTATGTTTTGGGCTGAAAATTCAGCAAAACATTGCTGCAAGCTGCACCTGTTTTCTCAGCAGCCTCTGAGCTCTTTCTCTCCCCCCCAGCCTGGAGTTTTTCCCAGCCCTGGCCCTCGGCCAAGCCAAACACAACCAAAGGACCTCCCGTGGGACTCTCCTCGGTGTCACCAACGCAATTTTGGGGGCCCGTGCGATGTCGGGAGGAGGCAGCACCTGGAATATTCCAGAGCCTCTTTTGATCTCCGGCCGGTTCCGGGGTGGATTTTAATCCGAATTTCACAAAACTCTGCCCGTGCAGCCTGGAACGGCTTCTGAAGCGCTGCCTGGGGTTGTGGCTTCATGCATCTTTCAGCAGCTGCTGAAAATACCTGCTCTGCCCCCTYCAAAAAAAAAAAAAATTAATTAAAAMCCTTTTTTRACTTGGAAAGCAGTCCCGAGCTCCYCGGGGAAAGCTCCGGGAGGATTTTTTTGCCGTTGTTTCCCTGCAGGAGATTATTCTGGTGGGGTTGTGGCGCTGTGTCTGTCCCCGAGGTGCTGTCACCATCTCCAGGGTGGCTTTTCCCGTCTCCTGGGGACATCCTCTGCTTTCCCTCTTGGGCAGGGAAAGTTCGGGAACAAAGCTGCTGTTTGGCACCCCTGGGGGAGGATGGCAGCGCTTTGTCTGCCTGGAGGTCACTAATTTTGGGATCGGGGTGAAGATCCAGCACTGCCAGGAGCATCTCCCAGAGCCGCTTCAGCTTTTTACAGATTGTGGCTCTTGTCTTGAGCCCCGGCTCAGAATTTTGGGGGTGTGAGCAGCAAAAAAACGCTCTGTGAGCCCCCAAAAAATCCTGAGGCCACCGGGCTGGGTGTCAGGGAGGGGGAATGGAGCGATCCCGCAGGAATTTGGGAGGCTGCCGACGTTCTAGCAGGGCTCGGGTAACTAGGGCAGCAGGGGAAAAAAATAAAAAGGTTAAAATTTAACCTGTAAAACAAAGGTCAGGGGRAAAAAAAACCCTGGCTGGGCTTTCCAGAAGCGTTGAAAATGCTTTCGGTATTGCTTTTTACAGAAACTTGGGTTATTGAACCTCCCCTGGGCAGAGTCCATCCCGCACGTGCTGGGTCTGCCAGAAGCAGCTCCTGCCACGGCTGCTGCTCCTGGGGTGGCTCAGGGCCATGGAAATGGGATTTGGGGCCAAAAAGGGCCTTGGGAAGCTCATCTGAGCCCCTTTTAGGGTCTTTTCCCTGATGAAATGTCACTAGTTTGGTGTCTGGTTCTGCCTGGGGTGGTTCAGTGCCACAGAAATGGGATTTGGGGCCAGAAAGTGCCTTGGGGAGCTCATCTGAGCCTCCTTTCAGGGCCTTCACCCTGCCAGGATATCACTGGATCAGTATCCAGTGCTGCCTGAGATAGTTCAGCATCACAGAAATGGGATTTGGGGCCAAAAAGAGACTTCAGGTGCTCATCTGAGCCCCCCTTTTAGGGCCTTCTCCCTGATGAAATGTCACTAGTTTGGTGTCTGGTTCTGCCTGGGGTGGCTCAGAAATGGGATTTGGGGCTAAAAAGGGACTTGGGTAGCTCATCTGAGCCCCTTTTTAGAGCTTTCTGTCTGCTGAGATCTCACTGGGTCAGTGTTGGGTGCTGCCTGGGGTGGATCAGGGCCACGGAAATGGGATTTGGGGCCAAAAAGGGCCTTGGGGAGCTCATCTGAGCCCCCTTTTAGGGTCTTTTCCCTGATGAGATGTCACTAGTTTGGTGTCTGGTTCTGCCTGGGGTGGTTCAGTGCCACAGAAATGGGATTTGGGGGCAAAAAGAGATTTCAGGTGCTCATCTGAGCCCCATTTTAGGGCCTTCACCCTGCCAGGATATCACTGGATCAGTATCCAGTGCTGCCTGAGATAGTTCAGCATCACAGAAATGGGATTTGGGGCCAAAAAGGGACTTCAGGTGCTCATCTGAGCCCCCTTTTAGGGCCTTCTCCCTGATGAGATGTCACTAGTTTGGTGTCTGGTTCTGCCTGCGGTGGGTCAGAGCCACTGAAATGGGATTTGGAGCCAAAAAGGGACTTGGGCAGCTCATCTGAGCCCCTTTTTAGAGCTTTCTCTCTGCTGAGATTTCACTGGGTCAGTGTTGGGTGCTGCCTGGGGTGGATCAGGGCCATGGAAATGGGGTTTGGGGCCAAAAAGGGACTTGGGGTGTTCATCTGGTCCCTCTTTTAGGGTCTTCTCCCTGCTGAGGTCTCACTGGATCAGTGTCCAGCGCCGCCTGGGGTGGGTCAGGACCGTGGAAATGGGATTTGGGGCCAAAAAGGGCCTTGGGAAGCTCATCTGAGCCCCCTTTTAGGGTCTTTTCCCTGATGAGATGTCATTAGTTTGGTGTCTGGTTCTGCCTGAGATGTTTCAATACCACAAAAATGGGATTTGGGGCCAAAAAGGGACTTTGGGTGCTCATCTGAGCCCCCTTTTAAGGCCTTATCCCTGACGAGATCTCACTGGGTCACTGTCCGAAGCTGCTGAGGTTGTTCAGTGCCACAGAAANGGTGCTCATCTGAGCCCCCTTTTAAGGCCTTATCCCTGACGAGATCTCACTGGGTCACTGTCCGAAGCTGCTGAGGTTGTTCAGTGCCACAGAAATGGGATTTGAGGCCAAAAAGAGACTTCAGGTGCTCATCTGAGCCCCCCTTTTAGGGCCTTCTCCCTGATAAGATGTCACTAGTTTGGTGTCTGGTTCTGCCTGGGGTGGCTCAGGGCCACAGAAATGGGATTTGGGGCCAAAAAGGGACTTGGGGAGCTCATCTGAGCCCCTTTTTAGAGCTTTCTCCCCGCTGAGATCTCACTGGGTCAGTGTTGGGTGCTGCCTGGGGTGGGTCAGGGCCATGGAAATGGGATTTGGGGCCAAAAAGGGACTTCAGGTGCTCATTTGATCCCTCTTTTAGGGCCTTTTCCCTGATGAGATGTCACTGGGTCAGTGTCCAATGGTGCTGAGGTCGTTCAGTGCCACAGAAATGGGATTTGGGGCCAAAAAGGGACTTTGGGTGCTCATCTGATCCCTCTTTTAGGGTCTTCTCCCTGATGAGATGTCACTAGTTTGGTGTCTGGTTCTGTCTGGGGTGGCTCAGGTCCACGGAAATGGGATTTGGGGCCAAAAAGGGACTTGGGCAGCTCATCTGAGCCCCCTCTCAGGGGCTTTTCTGTGATAAGGTCTCACTGGGTCAGTGCTGGCTGCTGCCTGAGATAGTTCAGCACCACAGAAATGGGATTTGGGGCCAAAAAGGGACTTCGGGTGCTCATCTGATCCCCCTTTTAGGGCCTTCTCCCTGATAAGATGTCACTAGTTTGGTGTCTGGTTCTGCCTGAGATGTTTCAGTGCCACAGAAATGGGATTTGGGGCCAAAAAGGGACTTTGGGTGTTCATCTGATCCCTCTTTTAGGGCCTTGTCCCTGATGAGATGTCACTGGGTCACTGTCCGATGCTGCTGAGGTTGTTCATTGCCACAGAAATTTGATTTGGGGTCAAAAAGGGACTTCAGGTGCTCATTTGATCCCTCTTTTAGGGTCTCCTCCCTGATGAGATGTCACTACTTTGGTGTCTGGTTCTGCCTGAGATGGTTTAGCGTCACAGAAATGGAATTTGTGCCCAAAAAAGGGACTTTTTGAGCCACCTGAGCCCCTTTTTGGGCAATTCTCCCATGAGACCACCACGAGATCTCTCTGATTTTTGCTCCCTACCGGGCTGGGTTTGGAGGAGAGGCTTCCACCGC